ATCGTCCTCAATGATAAGAAGGCTGAATGATCCATGGGCTCAGACGAAAGATCATGGTTTCATGGGTCCAGACGAAAGAGCATGGTTCCATGGGTCCAGACGAAAGATCAGATCCATGGTTCTTGACGAATGTTTAAGTGGTAAGTCATTGAATTTTGGAAAAGTAATTAATGTCAACACCGATAGTGCAACTATCTTAATATTTTATGTTATGGAATTAAATAGTTGCCAGAATTAAAGAAAATGTGAATAAATATAACCTAAATTTTGAACTCTCTCTTCGTTCATTGAAGAACACTGCGTGGAGAAGATTTTGATCCCCGTACCGAAACAGCCAAAATATTTTGCTATTATATGCTCAGTATATGCAACCATAAAGCTAGAGCTTGCTTATTAACTATGCCTGACTAGAAAATTTATTAACTTAGTCATAGTACCCACTGCATCTATAGTAACACAATTATGAAGTAATCCAGTACATCTAAAGAACAATTATAAAGAACGCTATCTACAGTATATGCAATACATGCAAGTGTGATATTTTTTTTTCTGTTGCTTAACAAATGTATAGACTTGTTATAATTTTCTTGCTGTCAAAAATACTTAGTAATTTTTCTTAATAATATATTTTAATTTGTTGAAGTACAAGCATATACTTTGTATTGTAGACTAAATCTTTCACTGGAATTACAACAAATCCTGGTAGATGCTTTTTCTAATGGTTTAAAGCAGCGGACATTGCCAAACATAATCACTGGCATTTGCTAGGTATACTAATGTTCTGAGCCCACATTTTACATTTCTTCTTCAGAATCACTGAAAATCAGATGGAAACATTGCTAAATGTATTGGCATAAAATTTTAGTATTATTTTTAGTTATACTTCCGAGGAGTGCTTGTGAATTTGTCTTTCCGTATCTAACTCATGCCTTTTTTCTTACCATTTTACTGAGACTTGTTAAAAACTCTATTCTTGATTGTAAATCTTGAAATAGGAAAATGTATCAAGTATCAATCACATCTTTCGATGTGGTTTTTTTTTTACCTTCTTTTTATTGGCAACTTCATTCCTTATTATATGCCTTATTATATACCTCCCTCTATATATATATATATATGCAATTTAGGCTAATGGGGTGAGTATTCATTTTCCTATATATTATTTCCTGGAGAGCTTTAATTAGTAAAAAATGTCTTCTTCGTTAAATATAACGACTTTAAAACAGATCAGCACAAGGTAGTGAGCTCGAGGAGACGATCCGATGACAATAGCAGCAATTTCTTGATGCGGAACACACATTAACAGGTTATTTCAAGACGGGTTAAATTTTAGCATAATTATTTCATAGCTGCATTAATTTTCAACCTAATCTTTCAGGATAATTTGTGCAATTCTCATACTGCTTCGCTCCTTCTTTTCAAAAAAAAAAAAACAAAAACAAAAAAAAAAAAGACATCATTCCATGAGATTAGCAAGGGCCGCAGCCCCGCATACTCGTGCGAGTCGTAGTCAGCAAAAAGAGGGAAAAACCTGTTTGGCGGGTATTTATATGCACGTGTAGTTCTGCGATTCCGATTAATGTTACGATAGTGTCCAGGATGATGAACTGCGTGGTGTGAGAAATTTCCATTCTCACACATGGTTACAGCCGAAAACATCGCGGCAAAAACATCGCAGACGAAAACTTCGCGGAGAAAACAACGCAAGGCGAAAACGTCATGCTACAAAACATCGTGGGATAAAACATCGACGTCGAAAATAAAGCGGTTCAAAAACTTTGCAGTTTAAAAATATCGTCGTCGAAAATATAGCGGTAAAAAATAAAGTATCTACAAATTATCGCATGACGATAACATCGCAGACATACTTTTTTCAGGTTTTAATAATTGTAAATGGATATTTCCGTAATGATTTGTGAGCGCAAGAAGATTTTGGAAAGAAGGATAATTTTTACTTTCATACTTTTATTAATCAATAAATTTTTGCTGAAAAAAAAAAGGAAACTTAAGCATAGAAAATTAATGCAACATATAGCACTTAATAGAATTTTAAACCGACATAGTTAACTAACAAAGGCCATTAATAAATTATTTTTATAAAGTTTTCACTGGTAATTTTTCATGAAAAGTATAATCTATAAGTTGCATTTAATTTTCTATGCTTAAGTTTCCTTCTTACTTTTTCAGCAAAAATTTATTAGTTAATAAAAAATGTGAAAGTAAAAAATATCCTTCTTTATTTTAACAGAAACGCAAGAAAAAAACGCAAGGCGAAAACGTCGTGCTACAAAACATCGTGGGAGAAAACATCGCAAAGAGAAAAACATCGCAGTTCTAAAACATCGTGGTACAAAATATCGACGTCGAAAATAAAGGGTTCAAAACTTCGCAGTTTAAAAACATCGTCGTCGAAAATATCATGGTAAAAAATAAAGTATCTACAAATGATCGCATGACGATAACATCGCAGACATGCTTTTTTCAGGCTTTAATAACTGTAAATGGATATTCCCATAATGATTTGTGAGCGCAAGATGTAAAGAAGGATAATTTTTACATATTTTTTTATTAAATATTAAATTTTTGCTGAGAAAATAAGAAGGAAACTTAAGCATAGAAAATTAATGCAACTTATAGCACTTATGAGAATTTTAAACAGACATAAGTTAACTAACAAAGACCATTAATAAATCATTTTTTATAAAGTTTTTACAGGTAATTTTTCATAAAAAGTATAATCTATTAAGTTGCATTTAATTTTCTATGCTTAATTTTCCTTCTTATTTTTTCAGCAAAAATTTATTAGTTAATAAAAAAATGTGAAAGTAAAAATTATCCTTCTTTACATCTTGCGCTCACAAATCATTATGAGAATATCCATTTACAGTTATTAAAACCTGAAAAAAGTATGTCTGCGATGTTATGGTCATGCGATGATACTTTATTTTTTGCCACGATATTTTCGACGACGATTTTTTTAAACTGCGAAGTTCTTGAACAGCTTTATTTTCGACGACGATATTTTGTACCGCGATGTTTTAGAACTGCTTTGTTTTCTCTTTGCGATGTTTTGTAGCACGACGTTTTCTCCTTGCGTTGTTTTCTCCGCGACGTTTTCGTCCGCGATGTTTTTGCCGCGATGTTATCGGCTGGCACCCTCACACATACAATGGGTACAAATTGTTCTGGATGCTCGTTAAATTTTGGGACTTTTATGATATCAAAGACAGCCAACGAAATTTATTGTGGCAAGAAGACAAGAGTGCGCCTGTTTTTGGCAAGAGCCTTGGGCAGCTTACAGGGGACAATGCGACTTTGCTCATTTTCGCCCCTAATTTGAAGAAGAACGCCCCAGAAACACTACCAAAATGACCACAAATCCTAGGACTTAAGGAATCTCTCGGTGTAATTATCATGTAGGCAGAGGGTTCAGAACCACATTGAAAAACACCCCAGGGGACGCGCCCGAGGGTCTCCTACCCTTCTTTCCCTACCACCGGCCTCTTAAGACGACTTTCGGCTCGCAACATATTCAGAGTGGCTCCATGCCGCGCAGACACTATGCATTTACAAACATCCATGCCTTCTTTGGGATTCAAACCCACGCCCATCGGTACAGTAGCGAGAGCCACTAACCACTGTCCCGGTTGGAAAGCGAAATATAAAGCCAAAGAGATTAAAAGTCAATGAATGTTTATAATAAATGTTAGCTGCGTGAGCAATAGATGTATTTTTTGCTCCAAATTTTGACTGCTTTTTGGAATTACTGAAAATTTGGGAATTTTTGAATTTCTACTTATAATGTAAAAGTTGAGACTTTTTCCATAAATAAACTCTCAATAGACCAAGTAACGGACCACACTTAATGTGACGGCAATAATACTCCTACAATACAATTTTAAGAGTATGACACGTTCAGGATTTTATAGTTATTTATTAAGAAATGAAGAACTTTCGACAAAGGAAGGTTGCTCCGAAATATATGTTCGGATGTCTAATTAATATGTTCCAAAAAATTATTTTAATGCCGAAGTTACTTTTTCTCACAATATAAGTTTACATATCTTAAATTTAATTTTATTTTGAAATGTCTCCCTTTCGAAATAAATGTCCTCCTTTTTCACTTTTATATCTGGTAACCCTATGTCAAAGCCTTTAACAAAATGTTAAAATGTAAAAGAGTTTGAATTTAAATTGCAAGAATGTTTAGAACAGTTGCCTTTAAGCTTAATTTAATTGCTTTCGCGTAATAATATTCATATTAGCTGCTGGATACAGTCTGCAGGTGCTTTGTAAAAGATCTCAGTATTTATCTGAGTCATTATTAAAAATTATCGCAGTTACAGCTGAGTATTCAAATTGAAAACTGGGTTTCATTGTATTCTGCATTATGATAGCTAGTTATAATGCTCTCACTATTTACCATAATTAGTAACTACGGGGTTAAATATGCATGAAAGTTCTAGCAAAGAATATTTGTTAAATCAAAGAATATTCGTTAGGTCAAGTAACGATCTCTCCAGGTAGAGGCGATGAATCTGGTAAGACTTACTAGACCATTTCCTACTGCCTAGTCTTTGTCATGTGTCCTTCAGATCACTGTTTCAAATCAATAGAAGTTAAGTTCAAAAGCCACACTGATTGACCTTCAATGGCATACTAATTCCTTTGTTTCTTTATTTTGTTTTGTTTGCTCTGATTTATGTTCCTACATTTAACTACTCTCTTTAGTCGACAGCCGACGTGAAAATAATAATTGTATTCTCGACTTAATCAGATAATAATCTTGAAATCTCCAGTAAAGTTTATTGTTAGCTTGTCTCATCACATGATTAACTCTTTTACATTGAAACTCACTTTTCCTTTCCTTCATTTTTCTTCTTTTAAATTGCGACGTGATGCAAAAGGCGAAGAAAACCCGTTATAAAGGGGAAAGTAAACATGCAGGTAAGGACGTGGGAGGAGAGACACAAGCCGGACACTGTTACTGGTCCGAAAGAAACTTCATGATTTAACGAATCATCAAAAGGGGATTCCAAATGATGTCACTTCCGAGCGAAGTGCGCGGGAACCGAAGATCTGAAAGACAGACGTTCCACACGAGGCTCAGAGATGCGGACAACGGCCGTATTTCTGTTGTGGTCACTTCTCTTACTGACTATTAGTGCTCAAGAAGTTAGAATACCAGCCTATGTAAACAGAGGCCAGAATAAACCAGGTAAGTGCTCGAGGTTACGTAGCAAGTAAGAAGACAAACATAAAAACCAGAATTATATGAAGTTAATACTTTTGATAGTTTTTAATCTAGAACAAGCTTTAATGTCTTATTATTTTTTTTTTCTTCAGTTTTTTGCAATTTTAGTTTGAGTTATTTCTAAAGCGAACATGGACCTCGAATAAAAGCCAAAAACATAAATCGACCGAATTTTAACGATCTTTTTTTTAAGTAAAACACATTTTATGTAGTGAGTGTATTAGAAGATAAATTGTACGTAGAGAAATAATAGAACTAATATAATAGAACAAAATAATAATCGATCTTTTTTGTAGATTCTTACAGCTCAAAATACATTTTACTTCAAAATGTTCCATACACTTTGCATATAAGATTATATAATCTAAGAGTTGTGTAAAATTCAAATCAACTTTCAATTTTTTTTATATTTCAACCTGTTAAGAGTTGAATATATTTCTCCAGTCTATCTTGCTCTATTAGATACTATTTCAAGAATTTAATTCTGTGATTTTAAATATGTAGAATCAAAGGTTATGATCTCGGTGAGCATTGGCCGGTATTTTTTAAATCATGCTCTAATATATTTGTTGTTCTTCGGAATTACTAAAAATTTGTGAATATTTGAATATTAGAGTCTTTAATAAAATAGTAAAATATATTAAGTGCAAGAATCTTTAGAGCAGTCCTTAAACTTAATTTAATTGTATTCGCATAATAATCTTCATATTTGGCACTTGAAACAAATTGCAGGATCTTTGCAAAATATCTGAGTATTTTAAGCATCATTTATCAAAACTTACTGCCACTAAAACGGGATAGTTAGTGACCTGACTATTGTACTGAAGTCCCGGCTTCGAATTCCAGAGAAGGCATGGATGTTTGTAAATGTATAGTGCCTTTGTGGCATGGAGGCACTCTAAATATATGACTATCCGAAAGTAAGTTCTCATCTTTAGGTTGGTGGCAGAAGAAGCAGGGGGGAAGACCCTCAGACCCAGTCCTTCAAAATTGGAGTGGAAATGGCCAAAATCGTACTGTCATCTTCATGATGCCCAAGGCTATTACGACAACACATGTAATCTTGTAGTCCTTGCTGCGATTAATTTTATAGCTTGTTCTGATGATGAGGTCAGATAACTGAGATTAAACATTAAAAACAACACACAACATTAAAAAATATTGCAATTATAACCGAGTATTTAAATTCAAAACTGGATCTCATTATTGCTAAAAACATAGCATCAAATAAAAATTACATGGTTAAAAACATTTTACTTTTCTTCGTTTACATCGGTTACAGCCGAAAACATCGCGGACGAAAACGTCGCGGAGAAAACAACGCAAGGCGAAAACGTCGTGCTACAAAACATCGTGGGAGAGAACATCGCAAAGAGAAAACATCGCAGTCCTAAAACATCGTGGTACAAAACATCGTCGTCGAAAATAAAGCGGTTCAAAAACTTCGCAATTTAAAAACATCGTCGTCGAAATTATCGTGGTAAAAAATAAAGTATCTACAAATCATCGCATGACGATAACATCGCAGACATGCTTTTCGCAAACATGCGTTAATAACTGTAAATGGATATTCGCATAATGATTTGTGAGCGCAAAATGGAAAGAAGGATAATTTTTTTTTCACATTTTTTTATTAACTAATAAATTTTTTCTGAAAAAGTAAGAAGGAAACTTAAGCATAGCAAATTAATGCAACTTATAGCAATTAATAGAATTTTAAACTGACATAGTTAACTAACAAAGGCCATTAATAAATCAATTTTTATAAAGTTTTTACTGGTAATTTTTCATGAAAAGTATAATCTATAAGTTGCATTTAATTTCTATGCTTAAGTTTCCTTCTTACTTTTTTCAGAAAAAATTTATTAGTTAATAAAAAATGTGAAAGTAAAAATTATCCTTCTTTACATTTTGCGCTCACAAATCTTTATGGGAATATTCATTTACAGTTATTAAAGCATGTCTGCGATGTTATCGTCATGCGATGATTTGTAGATACTTTATTTTTTACCACGATATTTTCGACGACGATGTTTTTAAACTGCGAAGTTTTTGAACCGCTTTATTTTCGACGACGATGTTTTGTACCACGATGTTTTAGAACTGCGATGTTTTCTCTTTGCGATGTTTTCTCCCACGATGTTTTGTAGCACGACGTTTTCGCCTTGCGTTTTTTTCCGCGACGTTTTCGTCCGCGACGTTTTTGCCGCGATGTTATCGGCGGACACCTTTACATCTTGCGTAAAATAAAAATAAAGTTATGTCCTAGTCATCTGATTAATTTTCAGGATACGTATACAGGTAATATAGTAGATATCAGCTTCATAATTAGCAATCAAGTAATAATTTCTAAAAATTATATTTTATTAGTCGATTAAGTTTTGCTACCACTTTGAAACTCAGAGAAATGAAACACGTGCTAGGAAAATAGACATTTTTCAAAGATCAGGACAAGTTAGAACGTTTTTCAAGAAAGTCAGAGAAATCCTTAAAACATATATCTGTCAATTTTCTCATAAAAAGTGCATATTTTAAGTAAGTTTATAAACTTTATATCTGATATAATTTTGCTACTAAATAACTCTCTTTTATTTTGTCTGTTATAATCCGTTACTTCAGAACAGGAATTTCAAGGCCATTCTTCCACCAAACTATGTTTCATAACCATGGTAACGACGTTGCGAAAAAAGGTCAAATCGTATAATTTGCTAAAATCCTCCAATTTCTTCCGTACGATAATGACACACGCTACAGTGGAAAATGAGAGAAGGGTCATTATGACCTTGAAAATTAAAATTAACAGACTATACTGAGATGTAAAGTATTTTAAAGTAACAGACTATATTGAAATGATGTCCTCTGTTCTCTTTAGAAGTAGAACTGTTCTATTAGCCCTTTCTCTTAGAAATGTAACTACCTATTAAATATGAATAACGTAATTAAGAAGTCCTTATACTGTGTGATAATACATTATAATCAATAGTTGGATTAATTTATTTCAGACTTTTTAATCCAGTTTAATTCTTAGCTTCTCAGTTTTATTCTGAAACACTGTAAGATCATATTTATTACATTTATTACGAATGTTGTGTGGTTATAGATTCCTTTTACAAAACAAACAGATTTTTTTCCAGAGCTTGAAATTTCTCTTCAAAAGCACTGCGTAAAATTTTCTTTGGAAAGGCTTAGATATATTTTTTTTATTTGCTTTGAAGTAATAAAAGAGACGAATTAAAATGTTAAGTTATTGCACTACATTTCTCAAAAAATATATTCAATTTTTCATTTATTCATATTTAATATAATAATTAAATCAATAAGCTTGGTTACAGAAATTGTTGAAATTAGGAAAACTAAAAGCTGAATTTCGCTGGAAATTCCGTTAACGTGTTTTATTTATTTTATTGCTTTGTGCTTCAATTTGTAGAGAAACCGAAGATTTATGAAACTAAGTTCCGCTTCCTTGTAGATTGTCAGGCAACGTATCGCCCCGGCTTAGACTGCAAAATAAAGCAACTATAAGATAAGATAAAAGTGTAAAATAAATCTTTTTTATATATATAACCGAACAAATGTACATCTCTTGTTTAAATCAATCACCGCCGCTTGCGAGATTTCTCGGATAGAACAACCAGAGATGTTTTGACCAATGTAAATTAAACCACACTGGCAAGGAATCCTGTACATACCCCAGGAATTCATATACGAAATGGGGTCCTTGAGTATGGAACTCGGAATTTTATTGATGGGAGAATAAACGGAAAGCTAATTTTTTGTAAAAGAAGTGCAATTTTATAACGAATTAATGGAAAGAAGGGAATGACAGCACAATTCTTATAATCTCCTAAAACAAGAGTGTGCCTTCTGGTGTGTTGAGATGGGAATTTTTTAACTGCTTGATTAATAATGTTGGGTGAAGTGCCCCTGTCAGTAGCTACTGCTTTTAAATAATTTAGTTCGTCATCAAGAGACAGTTTGGAAAAGCAAACTTGAAATACACGGAAAACATAGGAATAAAATGACGCTAACTTTTGTGGAAGGCAAACCGATGAAGTGTGGTGGAAAACAAACCGATGAAAGTTTACGGTAAACCGTAGTACTGAAGTTGGATGTGTTAGGTGTGACCAGAATGTCAAGGAACGAGAGAGAGTTGCATGCCTCAAGTTCAAACGTGAACTGAGTGAATCCTTTATTCTCCCATCAATAAAATTCCGAGTTCCATAATCAAGGACCCCATTCCAGAGATGTTTTATCCAAATATAACAGTTTAATGACAACTTCAATACATTGGGTAATATAGTACTACATTTTGAATATCTAAAAAAGTATCCGTACACTATCAAGTACAAAATTATTAAAATTCCTTCCACATTTTCCTGTTCTCGCCCTTAAACAATATCGGAGATCAGTCAAAATCGCACATTTGAAAACTCTCCTTCCCGTTATTAGATTCTATTACCCGGAGGACACTCTAGGTATTGGCTAAATTGCTCAGTTCTCTGCCCACAGAAAAGAAAAACTATTAATTATAAACAAATGTGGTAATATTAAAAGTTATTCTTTTTTAAATTCTTAACCTATAAAATACAACAGAAAATGTGGATTTCAAGTATTCACAGGAATGTGCATATTGGTCAGTGTTCGATATGGGTTCAATATGTTCATTTTTTCAAAAATGACTTTTAGGTTTGGGTTAACTTTATGACAAAAATCTCTACCCAATTTTCTAACGAAAGTCCTGCTGTGCAGCTTGCAGTCCGACTACTTTGACGATTCCTTTTAATAATTTTCCCAAGTGAAGAAATTCAAGGCATATGTTAATGAAGATCCAAATAGTATTCATGCAGAAAATCTGCAATTTAATCTGATATATAATCAATATTCAAAACATTTTCAGAAGGAGAAAGTCAATAACGGAAAATGTGCTTGATTTCCTACACGAGAATTTTGAATCTTGGAAGATG